AGGGATATCGTACGAATGTTTCATATATTTTTCAATACAATCAAGTACCACGTAATAAATATTTATTTTCAATTTATTACATGTGCAAACATTTACTCGTTCGATCATCTCACTTCACAGATTTGATGAAAAAAATTTAATTTATATCAGAATTTATAGGAGTTGTTGTATAAGCTGCCTATTAAACGAAACGAGTGCAAAAGTTTTTCGTCTGGCATCATTTAAATTGTTGATCTTTCAATACTTGAACAATCTTTGCAAAGTAATGATCGCAACGCGTAAACAGTGTACTACTCGTACGTAGGTCGACTCCTTTTTCAAAGAGTAGTATGTCAGATTATTACAGTCATAAACTAGTTAATAGTTACATATTATTATATGCGTCCCGATAAAAAGCAATTACAAGTTGTCGATAATAAAACTAGCATGATATTTTTCTGTGTCCGGCCTGACCTTAGAGGCTCACGTAATCTAGTATAATATGTACAATACGTGCTATAAGTAAAGCATGTTTCATAAACCAGCCATGAGAATAATGAAATATTGAAAAAATAAAGTGAATCATTTATGTGAGTTCTTTCCTCGTTGAATAAATTTGGAAACGATATTGAAAATCGTGTCAATGTTCAAACTTGTCAGCGTGGAAAAAGAAGTGATAAAAATGATTCATTCTAAGTGGAGTCGCGATTAACCGCGGAATATTTCGTTTAATCGCTCGTTATCTTAACACGAAGTTACGATCCGTAATTATTAATCAGAACTAACACACAGTCAGCGGATTGCGACAGAGATGTACACATTATAATATCATACTTACATAAACTGACGAATTCACATAGAAAAAAAATACATAGATATGTACAATCATAAAGATTTTTTCCCCTTTCTCTTCTTTCTCTCGTTCGCCTCTTCCAGCTTCTGGCGTTCCAGTTCGAGGGCTCGTTGCTTCTTGCGGTATATCGGCGTTTTCGCCAGCCACGCTGCAATTAAATCTGCATTATTAACACGTCGAATGCGGAGGAGTAAAACGTCTTCGATTCCAGATCAGCCATACTCAACCGTATCTGTGGTAACGCAGACGAACCCCTTTCATTCTGTTAAATAAACTCAGTATTCGATGTTCCATGTTCGACCCGAACGTAGGAAACATAAAACGTATGTACATACGTGATCCGGAGAAAAAAAGGATAAGCATGACTGCCCTAAGCCATCAAAGACGTTCAGGAACCGGGAAGTGGATACGTTCCGCTTGTGCAGTTTACATGAATAAGGAGGATGGAGGACGAAGCGTGTAATTTACGAAGTGAAAGTGAAAAGCCTTAATCGATGCGTTCCTAATCAAAAACCCTAATCATTCATTAGCTACACGAAGCTAAATCGCTGTGCAACCTGCCATTTCTTCCTTCCAAAAGCGTAACACTGCCCTTTAGGCAGGCATTGTGTGACATTGCCTGGCATTTAAAGTGTAATACATATGTACATGATAATTTGTACAAACCTAAAAACGCATCTTCTTCTTCGCAGTAAACAGGATCCCTCGTGCTCAACGCGTTTATCAGTTCGCCATGTGTCAAGGGATGAGTTCGTAATTGTACTATTCGTTTCGTGCTCATCACCTGTTACCGATAATTAATGATGTATTGGCTATACAATCAATCCCAAAAGTTTATGTACCTTAGAAAAACGCATTTCCTATAATT